CAACCAAGATACATGCCCTTGACCAGAATTGAACCCTGAATCCTTTGGTCCACAGGCTGACACTTTACCCACTGAGCCAAACTGGCTAGGGCTCAACAATTAAAAAAATATATACATTTTTATTGATTTCAGAAAGGAAGGGAGAGGGAGAGAGAGATAGAAACATCAATGATAAAAGAGAATCATTGATTATTTGCCTCCTGCATGCCCCTCACTGGGGATGGAACCCACAACCAGGACATATGCCCTCAGCAGGCATTGAACTGTGATCTCTTGGTTCATAGGTCATGCTCAACCACTGAGCCACATTGGCTGGTCTCAACAATGTTTTCTTTGTCTTCAAATGTCTTCAGAGTTTGCCCCTCCAATTTACTCTTGTAACCTCTGACGATTCTCAAATACAAATCTGATCATGCCACTTTTTTTGCTTAAAACTCTTGAATCCATCTCCCTATTGCTTTTAGTATAAAGCACACATTTCTTCCCTTGGCTTACAAGATGCTTTATGCTTACTCTGTAGCTTATTCTCTCACTGTCCCTACTTCCTTCAATATTAGAACAGCTTGCACAATTTTCAGTGCCTCTAAGAGACACATGCTTTCCTCCAGGCCTTTGCACATGCTATTCTCCTTGTCAGCCTATATTTCCACCTGGCCTGTCATCTAGAAAAGGAACTAACTTAGATGTGTTGATTTTGAGGTATTCTGCGAACATCCAGGAGGCATTTAGATGGGTAGGAGATGAGCAAGGACTGGTGTTTTAGGAGGCTGAAGAGGGTGGCATCCTGAGATCAACTGGGTGATTAGCTTTCTACTGGACGAAAGACATGCTTCCTCAGAGAGGAAGGCAAGGAAGCAAGGATTGGTACAAGTTTATAGGCTCTGGAGGGGTTGTAAGGAGACGGGGCATTATGCCTACTGGTCTCTGTGAATTAAAAGTGTAAGTCATATTTACTCATCTGAGGATGGAAGGTAGTCATTTGAGATGAGTGGTGAAATCTGGAATGTCAGAGGAAACAGATAAAGGATAAACAAAAGGAATACTGATTATGATCATAGACCAGCCCAGAGAGAAGTTGGTAAATGTTTTCACTATATTTACCTAAGCCCAACTCTCTGAGTATAAGAGCTGTTTGTGCTCTGCCCTTGTGAAACAGCCTGGACTATTGTTCCTGTCATTTGGATCTCATTTGCTTTTTCTCTCCCTGGTGAGAGCCAAGCTGAAAGCTGTTGCCTCGATGGAGGGAAAGTTTGCAGCAGTGGCATAGATACCAGCTAGGTGACCCCTGTGTTGCTGGAAGGGCAAACACCAAACATAGGAGGGTGGGGGCAGGCATGTTAGACTAGAGGGAGAGACTTGCTTTTTTGTGTGATCCTTTTAACTTTCAAGCTAAAGGAGAACCTGAAGAGGAGAGAGGGAGGCAGAGCAGATCTACATCATTTACTGATGGGTCTGAGGAAGCCCTCAAACAGTGTCCGTAAGCCCAGGAATTTAGCAGCACCTGGAAGAATGACACTTATATGAGGACCACTCATTTATCTCATGTCATCAGCAATTTAGCAGCACCTGGAAGAATGACACTTATATGAGGACCACTCATTTATCTCATGTCATAATTTCCCAGTGCCTTGAGCTGATCTGATGAACCTTGTTATGGTTTTGCAAGTTCTAAGAAATAAGTAGAGGTGAAGTAAAAAATAAAATAAAAATGCAAATGCCAAGTAAAAGGTATACCATTATGGAAAAATGGGGGAAAAAATCATGATTTTAGACACTGCTATCTCAAGAGATAACAACCAATTCTCAGGTGAGATGTCTTTCTTGAAAATCCACCACCATTGCTCTTTTTACATTCTAAAGGCAAACTTTTCCATCACAACTTAATATACCTTACAAGACCAGGGAGGTTCTGAGATCTGCAACTAGTACTTTGTATAGTTTTCTTGGCATGTCATTTATTGAGTTTATTTAGCTGCATGACTTGGTCTTAACACAAGACAAGTGGTCAAGGAAAGAGAATAAGAGGGGGACTGAGGCCAGTGATCCTCCCCTAAAAGTGAAGTCAATCCTGGGGGTTAAAGTTAGTGACCTTAAAAAATAAAAGCATGTTTCCATTTTGCAAGGCTTTTAAAAAAATATTGTGTGCTCAGATGGCACCTTTAATCACGAAGAACTTCTGCTGAGCTCCAGGCCGATTCTGTTGGCGCAGAGAGCTCTGAGATCATACCCTATATACAGTGCACAGGAGAAATATTTCATCCATCTCTGAAATAAAGAGGGAACAATAGATCTTATTGGAACAGTTTCATAGCAAGACCATACCAAGATGAAAAGTGAAGGACAACCCTATCCATTTGGAGTATAGAAAGAAACTATTAATTCTAAGTACGTAAGTGGCTTCTCTGCCCCCCTCCCGCCCTCATTCTCTGAGTGTTTCATAATAAACTAAGAAGCTTGCATAAATCTGAAAGCAATCTCCTATTTCACAGATATATAAATAAAGGTGGACAGATTTTGTGATTTACTAAAGACTACTTTTATTGAAAAAAAGAAAGGAGAGAGGCATAAGGGAAAAAGAAAACAACTCCAAAGTAGCAGGTTGTGACCCAGGAGTTTGAGCTCTTAGAGCCGAATTTAATCCACACCCGGGCCAAATATAATTCTCCAGGATGGAAATGGTCCAGGACACCAGAACTAACACCGTTGCCAGAGAGCCTGAGGCGATTTGGTGACAAACAGTCAGAACCTCACTTCTATTTCTCCTCTGAAAGGCCAGCATCATATGACAGGCACTTCCCACCATGGCAGGGCAGGGGTTCAAGCCATTGGAAGGAAGTGTGCTTCCCCTTGATTCATCATTGCCTCTTGCATTAATGTTATCCTGTGGAGGTTTTTTTGTTCAAAGGTTTATTTGTTCGACAGTTGGGTCAATACAATTTTAGGTGGCAAGGTTGAATCACCGTTTTATTCCTGGTGCCAGTCTTCAGCAGCAGGTTATATACTGTGCTGCTTCTTTATTACATCTCCCAAAGCCTTAGCTGTGGGAAAGGCCTAGGTGGTTGCTCTGTGTATCAGAAATTGAAACCCCGTCACTAAATGATGAAAAGTGGTCCAGGCCAAAGCTGCTCTAGAAATCTGAAAGCCGTTATTTTTTCCACACCTCCTCTCTTCACCTTCATTTTGTTTGGGAATGCACAGGGACACCAGCGAACAAAAATAAACCGACTTGCCCTTGACTGTGATTGTTCTGCCTTTTGAGTTATCAAATGTGAGTACTTCTGGCTCCCAGATATAGAAGTAGAGAGAGACTGCTGGGAAGCCAAACCACAAATTAGAGTTGACTTTCCAGATTCTTCTACCTAGAAGAAGGGTTCAGAACATTCCAATTAATAATGTGCCCTGTCACAAAGTTGACCTGGTTTCTGAATTACATTTGGATTTTAGAAATGCAAGAAAGCAAGCATATAAGAATCCTAATGTGTGTTTCTTTCAGCTCAACCCTGCCCATTCATTTTAGTGGCTCTTTTTAATCCATGACGCTATACCCAAGCCACACACATTTTTGAGTATCTGCTCCCAGGAATTGTCTCAACTCAAGAGCACCTGTAAGGAAGACAGAACCACTTTAGGAGGTAGAGGTGGAATGTGGCAACTCTTCCGCAGGCTTGGAGGTTTTGCTAGGGCTTAAGTCGGGTTGTCAACCCAAACACAATAGGCTTTGTTGCTCCAGTGGAAAGAGGAAATGGAGCAGTTTTTGGCCTTCCCAACACTGTATTGTAGGGTCTGCAGAATGGCAATTCCAGGCACAACCTTCACACAGATACAAATCTGCTTTGACTACTCAGTGTTCCCCAGCAAGTTAATCAGATGTTTCTGAAATGCATATATATATAATATATTCAGCGTTTTCATACTGAAGTCTATCATAGTTTTAGGCTTGGGGTGGGGTGGAGGAGAGACTGGGTGTATATGTGCGAGAGGATCTGTCAGAGAAACAGAACAGAGCCCTTTAGCTAGGGATACCAACACCTGTGATTTATCTCAGAAATCACTTTTTTTTTTTTTCTGGCTTGAGTACTCTTGCGGAGGGGCCTGCTGTGGCGTTCCACTCCTTCAGATGTGGGGAGTTACCTTTTGGGTTCAAAAGTCCTGAGGTGGGAAGCGCAGAGAAAACTAAGCAATGCCTCCGTTAAGCGATGCCTAACTGCTCGGGGAGAAGCCGGGGCTCGGCTCAGGGAGCTGCGGGGGAGGTTGCCGGGGGCCATGGGCACATCCTCTTACTGAGCGGCAACGGTCCTGCAAGTGGATTTGGGGACCTGGACAACTTCGCCTGGGGGTTGGGGTGTGTGTGAAGAGGTCTGCGAGGAGGGGCTCTGCCCCGAGACCTCCTACGGACCCGAGGGGCGCGCGTCCCACCAAGTGACAGCAAGCGCCCCCATGGGTCCGCTCCCCTCCTCCCCCGCGGCCAGCCTGGGCCCTCCCTCCCCCTCTCTCCACTCGTCCGGGTGGACCGAGCCTCCGCGGGAGCCTCGCCTGTCTCCGGGCAGCCTGAGGCCCGAGCGCTCGCCTAGCCTGTCAGTAACCGCCGTTTACGCTTCCCTTTTCTTTTTTTTCTTCCTTCCCCCTCATCCTCGTCTTTTCTTCTCCCCCCGCTTCTGCCTTTGTCCCGCTTAGTAACTGAGCGCCGGCCAATCGCGGCCTCACCGGCCGGCACCGGCTGGCTCCTGATTGGCCCGCTCGCGGGCGCGCAGCCGTCTCCCGCTCCTCCGCCGGAGCGAGGCAGACAAAAGACGCAGGCTCCGGGCTCGAGCAACCGGGAGCAGCCAATCGCAGGCCGCTCCCGCCGCTCTGCCTCCTCGCCCCGCCCCCCGCCCGCTCGCGTGCTCGGGGCACCGGCTCCTGGCGTGCGGCCAGCGCCCGGGCCGTACCATTCCGGTCGAGGCTTGGGTGGAGCGTGGACGGGTGATGAAGGAGCGGAAGCCCCGAGAGCATGGAGGGGAGAGTTGAACGCGGGGATGGAGGATAGTGTCAGCGTCTTTCCTCAGGCGCCTCACAGAATCCGCAGTCTGCCAGGGCCGGGTGGCGTGGAAGGGGCCGTGGGAGTGACGGCGGCCCCCGGCCCGGTGAGGGTGGGCGGCGCCTCAGCGGGGGAGCGTGGAGGCGGGGAAGGGTGTCCCCCTCCGCGCCGTTAAAATGAAACTAGTGACGGGAGTCCAGAGCAGAGCGTGAGGGACGCGGGCGCGGGCGGGCGTCTGTGCAGCCGGCGGCAGTCCCCCTGCCGAACGGAGCTCACTGACTGGACTCTCCAACGGGCCCCGAGCCCGAGCCCGAGGCTGCCGCAGCTTTGGGTCCGAGTCCGAACCCGCGGAGCCCGAGGCCGGCCCCTGAGGGGACCACTCTCTGCAGACCAGTGGGGACCCCGAAACTTGAATGCACTACCCAGCCTCCTTTTTATGCCTTCCTTTGTCACTTCTTCACCTTGCTCCCAGCAGGTTCTTTTTTTCCCCTTTTCTCTCTTCCTTCTTCATTCACCGAAGGACACAAAAGTGGCTTCCGCGGGAAGATTCGGAGGCGCTGGGAGCTCTCCCCTCTGAAGAGAGACCGTGTAGAAGGGATTTTTTTTGGGAAGCCGCTGCTTAACCACCTTTGCCTCCCGGCCCCCCTCCGCCCAGCCTCCTTGTGCCTCCCCCCGCGGGGAGCAACGCCAGTCGATTGGAAGTTCGGGGGCCTTTTGCTGGGTTCGGCAGAGGAGAGACGGGGAGGACCTCGTCCTCGTCCCGGTAGTTGCCTTGGACTTAATACCGGCCATTGGAAACGCTGAAGTCCATTTCCGAGTGGGACTTTTACAAATACATATATATATATATATATTTTAAAGTATCAGATTAAAAAAAAACACATATATGCTTTCTATATATTTCTGGACGACCCGCTCCTGACAGCGCGATGTACAATACGGTGTGGAGTATGGACCGCGATGACGCAGACTGGAGGGAGGTGATGATGCCCTATTCGACAGAACTGATATTTTATATTGAAATGGATCCTCCAGGTACTTGGGAAGAAGCAGAGAATTTTGTGACGGGTCTGGTGTGTGTGTGTGTGTGTGTGTGTGTGTGTAACAGTATCTTGGTGATGTCTTCGGGGCAGAATTATCCCCGGGGTGCGCTGGCTCTGGGATGTGGGGGGGCAGGTTTTGCAGTTAGAGCTGCAGTAAAACTGCTGCTAGTTTTACACGGTTAAAGTTTGCAGTTAGGACCCTGATCCTATTGTCCTGCGAGGGTGGGGGTGGGGATCGGAGTGGGGGCGGGAGGGGAGACCCGACCTTTAATTTTTTTTTTATTACTTTTTTTGCCTTTGCGTGTCGTTCAGGTTTTTGTCCCCCTTCCCCCAGTCCCATCCCCCTTCCTCCCATCCCCCCGCCTCTTTCTTTTTCAATTAAAGGTTCTTCTACTTGCAAAGGATGCATTATATCCCAGTCTTGAAGTCAGTCTTTCCCTTTGGGGGAATTCTTTAAAGCTTGTCATTTCTTACGTTTGTCTCTTTTGGTTCGTTGTTTTACCTTCGTTAACTTCTGAAACTGGCTTGCCAGTGTGATTATTCATTTTAAGACCCCTCCCCCCTTTTCTCTTAAAGAAACCAAATGCTGGTTAGTGATTTTCAAGGGTTGGGCGTTATTTATTTATTTATTTATTTATTTTTATTCAGTCATGGCCTTAGTGTTAGGTTTTTCTTCTTCGGATATAGTCGCTCAGAGAGATATCTACGTGCAATATTTTATTACTCTTTCATTTGTGGCGATTTAACTTGATTTCTGGGATAGGGTTTGATGTAACCTCAATTCTTACATTAAAAAAGGAAGACCCTTCCTTGTGTGAATATATGTGATGTGTACATATATGTGATGGGTTTGGAGACATATAAAGTATACATATACTGTATTTCTACTTTAGAGCTTTGTCTGAGACCCCCTACAGACATTTTGTGTATCAGGTAGGGAAGGAAAAGGAAGGGAAAATGGAAAAGTTGGGTAATTTTTTTTTTCCTTTAAAATGTACCCCATTTAATAATTATTAGCTGTCAGATTTTCAAACTGTGTTGGCAATTATGGACCGTGCTTTATGTAATGATTTTGAGTAAGTATAGAGAGAGGGCCTTTGTGACTCCCAATTTTTGTTGAGCATGAATTCGTTAGGTCTTTTAAAAATGTGTTATACTTATACCTACAGAATGAATTGTGTCATTGGGGAATCTCAATTATTATAAGCCTATGTATTTTTGGAAACGTTAGAAAGGATTTGCGACCATGCAAGTGTAATGAAGTATAACTGCCTTATAGATGTATGCAGAAATTATTTCCTGTGTCCTTGTGAACAGTGAATTATCCTCTTTGTTTCCCCCCCCAATTAGTCACAGAGTGTTAAATTATACTATATTAAAAATTTACTAATGTTGAATCAACCTTTTTCACTCCTAATGATCACTTGGAATTTTTTCCTTTTCCCCTTCATTTTGGAGCCTTCATTATTTGCTTTTATAATTGTGACTACAATCCAGTTGCAGCTTTTCAGTGTTTCATAAAGTTTGTAAGATTTGCCATCCATCTATTGTGTGTATTTCCCCCTTTGTTCCCCCCAGTGATAAAATGTCATTTCTATTAGATTCATTTGTCATTCATCTGAACGGAAATTAAGTACATCATTGGTTCCTCTCTTGTAAAAAGTAAGATTAATAATTTTAGATTTCTGTTGTTATAAGAATTATATATTCAAATTGCCTTAGAATCATACTGTGTCTTGTCTTACAGACATACAAAGGGATTTTGTTGGGCGGAGAAGTGAGTGGGGAGGAGGGGAGAAAATGAAGAAGGCACTAATGTTTGAAAAATGTGGGCCTAGTAGAAGAATATTGGCCAAGTTTAGCTGAGTTGTCCAAAAATGATTTTAAGAATAGTTGGACTGTTATAATTATGTAGTGATGTGGGTCTTATGGCGTTATATAGAAAATTCTGATCCAAACTTTGGGTATTCCATGGCAATAAACTTCGGAGTTATATGCATATGATGTTCTTTATTACTTTTTTTGTTCTGATCAAGACAAATTTCTTAATGTAGAATATTGTTAGTTATTTCTAACAGCTTTTTAAAAAGGAAACACTCTTGGATATGCTGAATTGCCTATGAAGTGAATGATTTTTACTGGAAGTAATGGGAACATCAGCCTTGTTTTGTGTAATAAATTAAATTTTGAAACGTTTAAACTAAGTAAATTATTAGTAAAGAGGTTGCAGCATGTCCTGTATCTGACTTTTTCCTAGCTCCTCACCCAGATCAAGCTCTTAATATTTCTTATCTGGATTGGTATGATAGTGTACTAATTGTTGTCTCTTTCTATTCTGTCCAGTCCACAGCATCATTAAAGTATCACCTGATAATTTACCTTCCAATGGTAAATCTTCCAATGACTTTAAAAAACTACCAAAGGGCTTCCCTTTGCCTACTGACTAAAGCTCCAGATTGCTTATCCTGCCATAGAAGTCCCTCTATTTTTGCTTCCAACATAATTTTCCTGTCTATTCTGCTGGAGTCCATCCTAAGTTCTATGTGAGCTATTTTGTATTTGCTATTCCTTGAAAGTATGTTTTTTTACTTTTTCTGGGTGCCTTTCATTCCCCATGGCTACTGGTTGAAATCTTACAATTGCTCGGGGCCCAGGTTAGGTGTATTCTTTACCAGGATGTGTGTTCCCTGACCCTTCTGTTCAAAGACATCCCTCTTTCTTCTAGCCCTTTTCATGTCCAAAGCTTGTAGATAGTGGTCTGTTAGCTAGTACTTTAGTTTTGACACTGTTACTGTTTTTATTTTGGGAAGATATAATCAATGATTTCTTTTTTAAATTAGTGGATACAATTAAAAAAAATATATATTATTGATTTTTTTTCAGAGAAGAAGGGAGAGGGATAGATAGTTAGAAACATCGATGAGAGAGAAACATCATCCCCACTGGGGATGTGCCAGCAATCAAGGTACATGCACTTGACCAGAATCGAACCTGGGACCCTTCCGTCTGCAGGCTGCTCTATCCACTGAGCCAAATTGGTTAGGGCAGATACAATTTTTTTTAGGGTTGTATGTGAACCTTTTTTGTTCTGATCAAGACAAATTTCTGAAATTATCTTTCGAGCAGCAACATCCCTTCAGTAGTAATTAGAAAATTAAATGCTTCAATTGTTTGGCATAACATAAATTATAGAAAGAGCTATAAAATGGTTCTCAATTTTTTTTTGGTCTGAGTACTTAAAATTTAAAAAAAAATTGATTTCAGAGAGGAAAGGAGAGGGAGAAAGAGATAGAAACATCAATGATGAGAGAGAATTATTGATCGGCTACTTCCTGCACACTCCCCACTGGGGATGGAGCCTGCAACCCAGATATGTGCCCTTGACTAGAATCGAACCCGGGACCCTTCACTCCACAGGCTGATGCTCTGTCTACTGAGCCAAAGCAACTATTTATTTCATACTCTTAAAAATTATTGAGAGCAGCCAAAGCCGGTTTGGCTCAGTGGTAGAGCTTCGGTCTGCGGACTGAAAGGTCCCAGGTTCAATTCCGGTCAAGGGCATGTACATTTGGTTGCAGGCACATCCTCGGTAGGGGTTGTGCAGGAGGCAGCTGGTCGATGTTTCTCTGTCATCGACGTTTCTAGCTCTCTATCCCTCTCCCTTCCCCTCTGTAAAAAATCAATAAAATACATTTAAAAAAAAAAATTATTGAGAGCAATAAAATATATTTAAAAATTATGCTCGCTTCGGCAGCACATATACTAAAATTGGAACGATGCAGAGAAGATTAGCATGGCCCCTGCGCAAGGATGACACGCAAATTCGTGAAGCGTTCCATAAAAAAAATATATATATATATATATGTATTTTTTATTATTTTGAAAATCCCAAAAGACCTTCTGTTTGAGTTATATCTATTTTAAAAAAATATATATTTTATTGATTTTTTTACAGAGAGGAAGAGAGAGGAATAGAGAGTTAGAAACATCGATGAGAAAGAATCATCGATCAGCTGCCCCCTGCACATCTCCCACTGGGGATGTGCCCGCAACCAAGGTACATGCCCCTGACCGGAATCGAACCCGGGACCCTTCAGTCCCCAAGCCGACGCTCTATCCATTGAGCCAAACTGGTTTTGGCTGAGTTATATCTATTGAAATTTACTGGATTAAAAATGGAGGAACTTAAAAATATTTAATTCATTAACAAATAATAAAGTATAACATGTTAACATGTAACATAACTTTTTCAATAAAAATATATTTTCTTTTTAAAAATATATATTTACTGATTTTAGAGAGAAAGGTAGAAAGAGAGAGAGAGAGAGAGAGAGAGAGAGAGAAAGAGAGAGGAACATCAGTGATGAGAGAGAATCATTGATCAGCTGCTTCCTGCATGTCCCCTGCTGAGGATCCAGCCCCCAACTTGGGGATGTGCCCTGACCAGGAATCTAACTGTGATCTCCTGGTTCATAGGTCAGTGATTAGCCATTGAGCCACGCTGACCGGGCAAAAAATTATATTTTTTAAAAAAGTGATGAGTGGCATTGTTTTATTTTTTATTTTTGCAAATAACTTTAATGTCTGGCATAACAGAACACATCAAAATTTTCATGTCTGCTCCTGCATTCATTCTGTTAAGATATTACAGCTCATAGCCTCTGGAAAGCTCCACTGTATAGTTGTGAAAGAATAAGAGTGCAAAAGACAAATCATGTCTTAGTAATACTATGAAAAGTATTTAAAAAAAATATATATATTTTATTGATTTTTTACAGAGAGGAAGGGAGAGGGATAGAGAGCTAGAAACATCGATGAGAGAGAAACATAGACCAGCTGCCTCCTGCACAGCCCCCACTGGGGGTGTGCCCGCAACCAAGGCACATGCCCTTGACCGGAATTGAACCCAGGACCTTCCAGTCCGCAGGCCGACGCTCTATCCACTGAGCCAAACCGGTTCTGGCCTATGAAAAGTATTTTTGACCTCTTGGA